CGAAAATGGAAGACTACAAAACAAAAACATATCAGCAATTTGAGGAAGACATGCGAACAACTGTAATAACTAACACAAGCATCGTAGATATCCTAGGTGATCTTTTCGAAGAACCTGAAGACTTGGCTATAGGCCATTGCCTTTCAAAAAATTTTGAAATGTCACGAAGAATAGCATTGGAATTCAGGAGAAGATTTGGTCAAATTGAGAAATTAAAAGAACAGAACAAATACATCACAGAAATTGCACACATTAAACATAACGGGCGATTTCTCTTATATATTATCACTAAACAACTATGTCAGCAAAAACCTTATCTAGACATAATGTTTAAATCTATCGTTAATTTACGAACATTCAGTCATTGTTTTGGCCTTTGTCCGAGTAAGACGTGTGTTAGCGNAGAATTGGAATTCAGGAGAAGATTTGGTCAAATTGAGAAATTAAAAGAACAAAACAAAGATATCACAGAAATTGCACACATTAAACATAACGGGCGATTTTTCATATATATTATCACTAAACAACTATGTCAGCAAAAACCTTATCTAGACATAATGTTTAAATGTATCGTTAATTTACGAACATTCTGTGAAGAAAATAATATCACAAAAATTGGACTGCCTAGAATTGGCAACGGACTCGAAAATTTAAATTGGAAAACAGTTCGGTCTATTATCAGATACATATTTAAAAATTCAGGAATCAAAGTTATCATTTACGTCGACATCGAATATTCTGATGAGGAAAAACTCAAGATACTTGAAGAATTTCACAATTCTCCACTTGGTGGTCATCAAGGTGTGTCGAGGACTATCAAAAGAATCAAACTACACCACTAATGGAAAGGATTAAAACATGACGTGAAGAAATTTATAGCTTCATGTCACTCATGTCAACAAAATAAAAGCACGAATAAAACCATTAAACAACCTATGGTAATTACAACTACATCCGAAAAACCATTTGAGAAAGTATTTCTTGATATCGTTGGTCCTCTCACAACAACACACAANAAGGTGTATCGAGGACTATCAAAAGAATCAAACTACACCACCAATGGAAAGGATTAAAACATGACGTGAAGAAATTTATAGCTTGATGTCACTCATGTCAACAAAATAAAAGCATAAATAAAACCATTAAACAACCTATGGTAATTACAACTACAACCGAAAAACCATTCGAGAAGTATTTCTTGATATCGTTGGTCCTCTCACAACACACAAAGGTCACTCGTATATATTGACAATTCAAGACGACTTGACCAAGTTTTCAGCGGCATTTCCATTAATAACTCATGATGCAAACTTGGTAGCAAAAACATTTGTCGAAAGATTTATATGCCAACATGGCATACCGGAATCAATTGTAACGGACTGTGGGACCGAATTTATGAGTAAAATTTTCAAAGATTGCTGTACACTACTGCAGATNTTGGTCCTCTCACAACAACACACAAAGGTCACTCGTATATATTGACAATTCAAGACGACTTGACCAAGTTTTCAGCGGCATTTCCATTAATTACTCATGATGCAAACTCGGTAGCAAAAATATTTGTCGAAAGATTTATGTGCCAACATGGCATACCGGAATCAATTGTAACGGACTGTAAGACCGAATTTATGAGTAATATTTTTAAAGAGTGCTGTAAACTACTGCAGATAAAGAAGATGAATACTACCCCGTATCATCATCAATCCAATGGTAACTTGGAAAGGTCTCACCGTACGTTGGCGGAGTATTTGAGGCATTACGTGGACAAAAATCAGACAAATTGAGACGACTATGTGGCTTTTGCCATGTTTGTTTATAATACAACAGTGCACACAACGACCAATCACCAACCATACGAACTCGTTTGTGGTTTCCCTGCGGTAGTTCCTCATACTCTGAGCCGAGCTCCTC